ATATAGATTTCTTATTCTTACCGCATGGAAATTCATCTCATCATTTCCTAAACACTCCAATTTCGTTCACTTTCCAAATGACATTGACACAAGTCAAAACATTGATTTGAAAACAACCATATCATATCGACTGCTGCATAAAATGAATGGTGGAATATTTTGAGTAAGAATTTTAGCAACCAAATTGAATGGGGAAAGACAAAGTGGAATGCTTCCATTCATCTGAATTGCAGTTTAAAGTGTTCATTTTTTGTCGTACAAAATACCAGTGAAAATGGGTGAGAGAGAAAGAAATGAGAGATAACGTCAGTTAGAATGAAGAGAGTCAAGTATTTCATAAATACGTAACTATTGCGGGAAATACTTTTCATCTTTTATTCAATGGCATAAAACCTTTTGAGCAGCAGCAGCAGAAGCAGGAGTAAGAATTTTTACTGTCGTGAATGTAATAGATGGTATTCAACGTTGAAGTTCGATGCAGTCACAGCATTTCCTCATTACAATTGGAAACAGATTTGCTATATAAAATCATCGCAACGTTTAAGATACATGTTCATCGGAAGAGGATGAGCATCATCAGCATATTTTGAGTACACCTATTCAATTTGATCGTTTCGACTGACTAATTAAAAAAGAAACAATTTTTTCAACATTTTCTTGGCTTACTAGATAATAATGCAAGTTGCACAATACTTTTTACATTTGTATTTCACCTGTTCAATACAGAAAACTCGTGGAACCAATGCAATTTGAATTTGTTTTTAATTGAAAAGAGAATTTAAAACTCCGTTTCCATATTTTTTCTGTCAGAAAATTGATGTGATAGAAAACAATTTTTGTAGCCCCATCTTCTCTCCCTCTAATATTTTGGAAAGACTACACAAAAAATTTTTTTTTTTCATTTGAAATATACTTTATATAATAGCCCAAGAGATACAAGAGCACACGCTTATAATCTCATAGAAAATTTGTGTCAAGACATTCTGCAGCGCCGTCGATTTATGATGACAAAATTCAGTACTAATCGGTGTTATTATGCAGTATTTCGCAATTTGTCGAAATCACTTCCAGCTATTTACAGGCGATTTCGCCGTCACTAATCGACGGCGCTGCAGAGAGTCTACTTTCTTGATTATAATCGTGTGTACAAGAGAAGCGGCGAAAACGTTTATACGCCCTTTGTACGCTGAATATACAGGATGGTTCATAATTGTGTGTCAATCTCTTAAAAACGGTTTGACCGAAGGGGTTAAAATTAACACATATTGGAAGGTATGAGAAATTGATAAAAAATAGTGAGTTGTCTCAAAATAATGCGTTATTAAGGTGATTGAAGGTTTTCTTAAATCATAGATCGAAAGATCGTAGATTTTTGGGCCGACGTGTCAATTTTCAGAAACCGACTGAATGCTGTAGGGGATTTCGGAAGCAAAAAGTTAAATTAAGGTATTGAATCGAAAAATACCGTTACTTCAGTAAAAACCACTAAATTTTAAAGAACTGGTATCATTTTCACCGTCGCTGCTTAACTGTTATTTGAAGGTTGTAAACAACACACCATGTAATAATTGACAGTCCAATCCTGAAACTTGTTCCTATGATTTTGAGCGCAATTCAAGATTGTTCCTTTTGTCGCCTTTAGAACATTCCTTAGGATACTAAACCCATATCTCTTACAGTTTCTGAGTATATTCTCCGGTGGAATAATTTTTGAAATAGAATTTTGTATTATTGTAGCAGTATATTATTTATGGAATTTACGAAACTGGACCATGAATAATAATACATCACCTCATTTTGGCCATAAAGAGATTGCCACAAAATATTTAAAATGTAAGTCTTCTGCCACATTAAAGTCAATGCCATCTCTAAACAAACTCATTGAATCATTGAATTTTTCGGCAACTTGTTTCAATCGAGTGTGGCTTGAGTAGAATATAATTAACTTTACGGCGACACTAACAGCTTCACTCTTAGCTATAATTACACACTAGCCAATATACATTGATGTTTTGCAATGGTTACTCGATAAATTGGTCAAAATACTATGATTTTCGTACTCTCGGTCTATGTATGTGCACAAAGGAGCTGCCAGTGTCGCCGTAAAGTTGATTTTATCAGTCAAGCTACATACGGTTGAAAAAAAGTTGCCGAAAAATTCAATGATTCAATGAGTTGGTTTAGAGATGGCATTGACTTTAATGTGGCAGAAGACTTATTCAATTATTCACTGAGTTGGTTTAGAGATGCCTTCTTGTTATTCTGGCAATATATTCATGGTTTTGGCTTTCAATATGTTTTTTTCTACTCAACTATTCGAATGTGTGATTGTTACCATCAACTCAGAAATATATCCGTGCATAATAATTTGGTCGGAGCAAAAACAATTTTATACATACAGAATCCTCAAGTTTATACTGATTATAATCGAAGCGCGACACTATATGGGAATTTGCATGAAAACTAAACACACACGCGCCCCCTTTTGGACATTTTATCATTTAAACCCAAGTAATACATGCACCAATGGCAACACATATAATACATAGTAATTTGATATGTTTCGTTACTTGGGATGCGACATTGACGCGCATTGCCAACATGAAAGAAAATAATTTTTCTGAAATATTCTGTTTGTTTTCTAAATCGTAGTTTTTTTGAACATTATTTTGGAGGCATGCAATTAGATTCATATTTTAAAATATTTTGAATAATTGTACACTGCATTCATGAATGATTGCAAAAGAATGACTACCAGCTTTGCCCTATTTGAACTTTTCATGTTTGTACGTGAAATTTATAAGTCCATCTATTGAAAAAATCCAAAATCAACGAAAGTTCAAAGTTTTTCATAGATTATCTATGGTATTTACATGTGACACATACAGCGCCATCTATTGAAAAAAGTCACAATCGTGTCAAGTTGAAATAAGGCAAAATAACCCAGAAAATGGTTGTCATTCTTTAAAATTTAATTCAGCTCATATTTTTTCTCTATAAAACTTATAAAAATGTCTGTGGTTAATGTCATCGCTGTTATAATTATGGACACGTTTTGTTGTTGTCATATGATTTCACAAGATTCCATATTGATTACAACATATTGTGAAATTGTGAAATTGCGAAATATTGCGAAATCATATTAAAAACCAAACATTAGCGATTTTTATATCACTAGACATTTGTTCGATTTTTGAATTCTTTTCTATTATTTTATCATTAATGCAAATATAAACATGTCGGTGTGAACACGAAAAAATATGAAATGAAGAAGAATTTTTTATTTACATATTGGGATGCGCATGTACACAGCGCCCTCATGCAATATTTATTCTGATGCAGTAATGCCAACTTTCTGCATAGAAAACTATAGATCCCCAAAAGGGTGCGCTGTTTTTTTAGAGAGCCCAATAGCGCTACGATTATAATGATGGCCATGAAATTCTTGTGCCGCATCGAAACTTTAATTAGTATTTAAAGCAATAAATAGAGCAGCGTTCTGCAGATGGGATATTTCATGCTGGTATTCATAGTCCACGCTAATAAATTCAATTTATTAAATTGCAATCGGTTATTGGTTTTCTCATGTAGCCGCTAAAAATTATAAGGCAAATATGGAGCGAAACGATGCGATCGAGTGTTGCGATAGTAGTAAGCCGGAAAGAGTGAAGGCGAGAGACACAGAGAATTATGAGATGGGAAAAAATTACAAACGATGAACTGCAATAATTACTAGCGAAGCATATCCGCTTATAATTTGGTGCATAAACCATCAACCATCGAAAAGTGTTCGTTGTCCCATAAATTGCGATGGTAACATGTACATTTTTAGGCAAATGTTCGACTCTTTTGTTGAGCCATTCTCTAGTCCCTCATACATGAATCTCGCCGGTACAAACATTATCAGCGTAAAACACAAACGACCAAGAGAGAGAGAGAGGGGGAGAGAGACAGAGAAAGGGGAAGAGAGAGGCCGCTTTTATAAACTTGTATCAGGACGTTGAAGACTGAATCATTTTACTATCTGCAGTGGTCGACCAAACATTATAATTTGTGAATTTGTGCACCACTTTCTCTCTGTTTCTCTATCTACCATGCATATATAGATGAATATAAATTTCTCCGCATTATAATCATGGCTGAAAATCAGTGAATGAGATATACAGAGAATATGGCTATGGTTTTTGTTGTTCGTTGTTTTTTCTGCATTTTATTCAACTCTCTCTTTCGCTCTGTGGCGGTTTCGTGCAGTGTAGAATCCAGAGCGTGCATGCATCATTGCGCGTCAAAAGTTTGGAGCACATGAATTAACGCATTATAAATTGTCCGGAATGATCTGAATTATCTTTCGTTTGGCGCGTTTCAGTCGCCACTATTCATTGAAACATGTAAAGAGTGAGATAAATGTGCAACGCCGCGACAATGTTGGCTGTAGCATTTTTACGTATCTATTATGGCAAAACAAAATGTGCTGGAGCCATTTCTGTGCCGAAATTTCGCCATCAGATCAAATGACCACACCGATCATATAGGCTAAGCCCTCTCTTGTGCACAAAAACGATGCAGATACCATTGATTGAAATTTTTTTGACATACACACAGAAAAGAATCCCCGGAAATTTTAGGTGTTAGCCGTAAAATTTGACATTTATATATAAATTTCTATATACATTTTACCGGCAACACTTGAATTTTCCGGGCGATGACATAATTTCAAATATTTCAACAGAAATTAGCACCATCTGTCATTTCAAGCGGTAAAATATATATAGTATTTGATAAAATGTTCGAAAATATGTCATCGCCCGGAAAATTGAAGTGTTGCCGGTAAAATGTATATAGAAATTTATATATGAATGTCAAATTTTACGGCGAACACCTAAAATTTCCGGGGATTCTTTTCTGTGTGTATATTTCGCAAATGAGAAATTGAAACTGAACAAACGAGAAATTTCATGATTTGGTTTTCTATCACATTTCACAATAGAAGTTATACGAACCTGTAAACTGCTGACTTGTCTCCGTATGTGTGCCAAACTCGACGGATTATACGCCATATTGGCGAACACCAAACGCTCCTCGTAGTCATACTCGCACAGAATTTTATTCTCACATAAATAAAAACGATCGCCTACGCAGAACCTGTCCCCAAAAAAAAAAAACGAAACAATGAAATCAAATCGATTAGCTTGGATAAGCTGTTGGCATTTGCCAACTGCATTTAAAATTCTGAATATAATTAGTTTTGGTTTTTTTTTCTCGGTTCTATTTCGAAATCAGTTTTAATATGCGAAAAGTATTTATCGGTGGATTTTAATTTTAAATACTAATCTATTATTAAAGAGCAATTTGAGGATAATTTCCGCTGTGTGTAAATATGACATCGGCTCCAGTCGATGTGGAAGCGGAATCGGATCGTTGAAAAATAAATACAAACAAAATAAAATCGATTGGATGCCGTTAATCTATGACATACACACACACACAAACCCATATACAATATGGACCACGGAGATGTGCAAAAATGGGTATGCTCCCATTGCTGCTTCTATGAAAATGGAATTGAGACTAATATGTTACAGGCGCTTTACATTTCATTTTGTTAGCCGATTAGAATGAAATTCACTGAGCATTGTGAACATTTATTGAAAACAAGACCAGAAAAAAAAGCATCACAATGCTTGCGTTCATTGATCGCTGTGTAGCGTAAAATTGGAAATGACTATTAGACAGATAATGAACAAAAGATATAGTTACTACAAAGCTCTCTCGTTCCATTGAATAGGTGATTTTACATTGAAAATTAATGAGGATTAATTTTCAAAAAATCGAATTAAATCTAATATTCCTAATACGCCGTCAAATGTCTATACTGCACACTGTGCAGTGCACAGACAGAAATCCAACATGGATTCACCAATACAAAAACATAATTTTGGCATTTTACAACAGTATTTGTGAAAATCGCAACAAATGTTTGACTGTCAATATAGTACGAATTTGGGTGCGTTGCATACAAATACTAATCTGAACATTTGTTGCTATTTTCACAAATACTGTCGCATTTTGACACTTTGCAATGTTTTGTGGTGTTGAACGTGACCTCATTTCTCTGTGTGTGCCACATTATAAATTCCAAATCTATAGGTTAGATTGGGAGTGGTGTATGTTTCACAGACTCTAAAACATGCTCTGCTTCATCAAAAAAATATTAGTCGACAAGAAAACATACAATACTCTCAATCTCACCCAATGATCGTTTCAATTATCAATTGAAATGATTACCTGTGGTTACACTGCTGACAAGCAAAACACTCTAAATGATATACATTACTTTTGGCCCGCATAACCATTTCAAATGCAGGAATAACTTTGGTACAAGCAGCGCAAAGGCCGGTATTTCCAAATAATCTGAAAAGTAATGTGATTTTTCCAAATTATGAAAAACGGTGGTGCCAAATAATTTATGTGTGACAAAAATAGCAACTACAAAATTGATTTCCATTCATATTGTAATGGAAAAGAAAAGAAAAGCATTGAATGTGCGCATATATATGTGTTTGTGTGTGACTGACCTAAGATAATCTCGTTTACACAAAATTAAATTTGCCTTCGTATAAAGCGTGGACCCGACTTCACCTAATCGACAATCACAGCATCCGCATTTTAAGCAATCCTCGTGCCAGTATAAATCTAAAGCTTTCAATAGAAATCGTTCGGTGATTCGTTTGCAGCAGCCGGCACACTCTCTAACTCCGCTGCAGCTGTTGAGGTTGTTGTTGCTGTTGCCATTCGCACCGACGCTCAGAAGCAGTGCTGTGTTTTGATTTGATAATACTGTGACGACAACGACGGCGGGTTTGGGGATTGTATTGCCGAAAAATCCAATGAAATTGAATTACATAAAACAAATCGAATAAATATAACGTAGATAAAATGCATTTTCACTTTAAACAGTGCAATGCAATGCAATGTAATGAACGATTTTCATTGCCATTGTCCGAACAATGTACACGTACGAAAAAAAAAACGAAATGAATTTTTGTGGTTTGGCAAGTGAACGAGTGTAGTAATTTAATGGTACCTGTTGGCAGTCCTGCGCTGGACGTTGGCAGCGTAGCGGACGACGATGATGTGCATACATTCGATGGAATAATGGACGTAGGTGTTGATGGCGATGACAACTGCGACGAAGGTTTCACACAAACTGATTTATGCGAATCCACTTTGTTAGCTTGATGGCGGCCCAAAGACGGCTGATATTGGTGATGATTATTGTGATGGTGATCACCTATTCCATTGTCAGTAACTGAAAAAAAAATTTCGAATCAAAGAACTTCCGAAACGATGTCGGTATCAAAATTATCCCGAAAGAGGCGCCGCATGTCCATAACAACAAATCAGACTCTATACAACACATATACAGAAGAATCCACACTCTTTTCACAGTTGTGACCGATGTGTACTGTGGCTGAATACTATTGCATCGCTGCTATTGAGAGTGTATATTGGTCAACAACATACCGTTAGGTCTAGGGGAATATCACGCAATTTTTATTCGCAAAACTTATTTCTATCTCATTTATTTCATTAAAATCTATAGAAATCTAAGCTATTTCAAATATTTCGCAAAATCTGTATTATTCACTCATATTCACCATGTGCTGACGTCATTAGCGCTTCAAAAATTCTGGAAGTGGGTTTTGGTGGATCCTCAGGATCGTTTTGTACTGCTCCCGGTTCTGGAAGTGGATCCTCAGGATGGGCCAGGGCATTGTCAAACCAAGTCTGGAAGATCTTCAATCCTGAAGATCCACCAAAACCCACTTCCAGCATTAAAATATCTGCAAAAATCGACCAAAATGAAAAAAATCTCAGATATCTCGCATAATTTAATATAATTGAAATTAATTTTTAGAAAATGCAAAAATCAATAGAAATTCAATAGAATTTTTTGCGTGATATTCCCCTAGCGTTAGGTTTTGGTTCTAAATTATAAAAATTCAAATACTTTACACTCGCACACACAAAGCAACACGCTCAAAACTACAGTGTCTGTATGAAATACTGCGTTTCATTTTTCTGAATAATTTGTGTTGGTGCGTCGTACGAAAATTGTTAGATGCTACAATATGACTTGTTGCCTTTTTCACACAACCGTGAGCAGTGAGCATCACTGTGAGCAATGGCAATACAAATAAATAACTATTCATTTCAATACTTATTGGTCATCCTTCAATCAAGCGTCGCGCCATTTTCACGCTTACGCTTATTTTATACATAATTTAATACAGAGTCGAAGGTATATTTAAGGCATATTTTTAGCGTGAACCGCATGCAAAGCATACGGACAAAATACGGTATATTTGTAGCGTAGTTTTTTTTTATTGAGGAGCAAAGGAAACGGTGGTATAGAGATTTGCACGTCATTTTGAATCACCCTGTATAAATGTTATTTAAATCCATAAGATATTGGTTTTACTCTCCCTTCTCGAAAAACCGTGCTCAAGCCATTTTGGAACATATCGTCGGTCGGGTGGTTGAAATAAATTTACTCGCCAATACATGCGCGAGGTGTGACGCCCGGCATAACTCATAGCCCATGTTTTTTTAGAGAAACCTTCATAAATTCAATTCGCTCCTTCACCGAACCCACAGTAAATTCAACGAAGGTTTTGCACCTAGCACGATTACGGAGCAATTGTTAGGTGATGAGACGTGTGCGAGAGAGTGCAAATAGTTCGGAGAATTATATGATATTTCGTTATTTTAGCTACATTTTATAAGAGATTCGATTTAATCCAATCGAATTGATTTACGCTAAAAGCATGAGCGAAATGAAAATTATCGAGTTTATCGAGTCTCGAAGCGAATCTAGAAGCGAATACCATCTTTCTTTTAATTCTCAGTCTCACTCTTCTCCTCTATCCCCCTTACTTATTTTCTTTCTTTATTTCTTTCTTTAGCACGATCTCGCGCATTCATTTTGGCACGGCAGCAATGAACAATCGTCGAATAAAGCGGATGATGGTTACATATATCGTTCGCACTTGAATACGATGCGAATCGATTAGATCGTTATTTTTTTATTTGTGACGGGACAATGAACGAGCTTCCGAAATCTGCTGTTGGTGCTACAACTGCTGCTGTTTTTGCCCTTCCATCTTGATGCACTTTACGTTTTGCGAAATCAATCCTTTCATTCATATTGTATTTATTTATCACATGTTTTCCAATAATTGAAAAGTGCTGTACTGACTCCGGCAAACTGACTCTGCTCTTTTTTCCTGCTATTGCTTTCATAGCATTCGCTTTGTGTGTTGTTCATTTACTCGTACGTTATTTTTGCAATATTTATTCTGTGAACTTTGTTATTACGTGTATTATTTAATGGAAGCGAGATTGCAGTTCAAATGAAACATTTGAAACATGTAAGTACAATATTCCGTACCAATGAAATGTTCACATATAGACATCAACGTCGACTGAAAGAACGAACGAATGAACGAACGAAATGGAAATTACGCAAAAACGCGATAGGACAACCCGAGCAGGAGAAATTTCACAAATTCTCACTCTTCAAACAAATTTCGCTGATGATATTAATACTTTGGTGGGATTAATGCTGCATAAGAATAATTGCTGAATCGGCCATTTAGAAAATCATACGCATTTTTTATGGTTTCACGGTTACTCAAATAAATGAAGCGCTCGCGCCCATATATATACACACAATATACATGCACACACACACATACACAAGGGAGAAAGAGACATGGAGAGATGAAGAAAATTGAGCATCAGAATAATAAGAAACGATTTAGTTATCATTTTCATTATGGTCGTAACAAAACTCTTCAGCAATCTACATAAACAAAAACAATTAAACGACAAAATAGTACATATTACGTGGAAGCCGTGAATTACTCATTCCTCCGTTCGACTCCTTTTCTCTTCATATTGTAGATACACGAAGAGAGGAAGAGAAAGAGAGAAAGAGAAACTGTAGATACTCGGTTTTCTTTCAGTTTCGACGGCCTTACATTTCGTACATTGCCGCGTTCTTACGTTCGTTGGTTTTGTCGACCGAATGTGAGCCCGTGATGGAAAATATGTGTATACAAAAAGAGCGATTGAAATAAACACGCTCTCACTTCTGTCGCACAGTTTCTTGCCAAAATGGTAGATAAATGCCCCCGAATGAGGGAAAATAGCAAAATCCGAGGAGTAAGAATGAAGGACGAAGATTGTATGTGGAAAGTGGAAAAATACGTAGCAAAACGCACCGACACCGTAGTATATGTGTGTGAGACAGAGAGAGAGAGAGAGAGAGAGAGAGAGAGAGAGAGAGAGAAAGAGAAAGAGGCAGTGAGTGAGCGAGAGAAGAAAAAAAGAAAACTGATGAACTTTACACACATAACGAGAATAAAAAGGAGTTCAAATTGAATTTTAGCAGTCTAAAAGTTTAATTAAAAAGGGCCAGAATCGTTTCAACTCTTCTTTAATTAAGATTCTGCTGTTAGATATAAAAAGCAATTAAATTAAATAATAAGAAACATTGTATTTTTTGTGTGTTTAGTGTGCCTGAGCTGTTGCTTTTGCATTACTATACTCTTCTCCCGGATAGTCAAAGCGCTGCCGCTATCTCGCTGTTGCTGCCGCCATCGCGGTATTTCTACACATACAAACACATTCGCACACATAAACGGTTCATTATCCGTTTTGCTTATGTTTCTGCGACATTCATACTTTTCATTCCGTTTTTTTTAAATACATTTTTATTTAATGCAGAGCGGTGAACCCGAACTGTCAAACTACAACGGGACCGCGTAGTCGGTTGTCATTCGTTGCGGAACGCGCTAAAAGTATGCATAAGTACATGAGTACATATTTTAAGCATTCTGGTTAAAAAATATTTCAATTATTTATAAAAATATACCTAGTGTATTAATATGAAAACCCATTTTTAATAACATTATTCATATTTTAGAAACGCTTGGAAAAATACCGAAAAAGAATATGAACTTTCTTTTTTTTTGCTCAAAAATTCTTTGCTAACATTTTTCTTGTTTTTGATTGACAAAGTGAGGTTAAGTATCTACTGACATGTTCAATGAGTAGAACAAATTTGTGCACTCGGTAGAACAAAGCCATTGTGTGTTTAAGGAGCCACTTTATTCCCATGGCTCCTGAAACACATTCAAGCTCATTTTGTAAATGCGAACGTAAATAATGAGAAAATTGAATTAATTGATTTTAAAATTTATTTGAACATCAGCAAATCTAAAGAAAACTTAGATAAATATGTTCATGTTGGAAACATTTTTCTAAAATTTGATAATGTGGATGTGTCATCCAAATCATTCATTGCATTTAAATAGGAAAGAGAGAAACAACATATTTTTACACACATATTTATTTTCCACTTGATTTTATCTTTTTTATTCACTCCATGAATAATATACGTTCACGAAAATACGTTGTCTTTTTCAAACATAGTAGTTCAAATTCAACAAGTCGTTCTACGAAGGTGCACTTAAGACTGTCAGGCGTGTATTTAATGTGTACTTTATTCTGACAGACGCGTAGTTAATGATAATGACAGATGTATAGCTGCACCGTTAATGATATATTATTAATAATTATTAATACTATATTATTAACTAGGCGGTATTAACAACTGATACGTTATTAACATCGCCTGTTAATATTGCTATTACTTACTAGTTAATACCAGTTAATACCGGTATTATCATACTAATATATTATTAACATGCGATGTTAATACTGATGGTATAATTAATATTAAATACTGTGCAGCTATAGATAGATGGGTTTGACCGCCTTGATTTAATGAATGCTCATTTCGTTTATTACAGGTTGGCATGATCCCCCTTAGAAGAGACAGCATAACTTTTGCAAAAATTAAATAAAAATAAACCATTTTATATGGAATTTCAAATTGATTAACAAATATTATTCACTGCAAAAAAGTTATAAATGAAAACTATTACACATTTATGGTTATAATTTCTGCAATTCTTTTTTCTGGGCTTCCATCCGTATTGAGTAATGTGTACTGTCATGTAAAGGTGTCAAAGGGATATACTTAAAACTAAAAAATACGGTTCGACCGTCCATTTTGAGCAGTTTTTTTGTTTGTCCGTCCTTGAAAGGAAGATCTAGATGGCGTTGCAATCGCTTCAGAGAAAATTCGTCAAATAACATCACAAATTGTAATCGACAAACGTCTGGTCCTAGATACCTTTACTGCCATGCCATTAAATGCACTTATTCATCATGTTTTTGACAATATGGATACGTCCACAGCGTGAAAATGTAGATTGCATTTCGTGTGTACCTGTAGTGGTACGCATTCACTACGCAGGGTGACCTAAATTAAAAATATAATTTTACGCATTTTGAAAACAAAAATAGATCCACGAACGTTCATTCAATGTGTTATTCTGCGAATTTTGTTTCTAACGACTAAAACGCTCTCTAGATCTCCATAAGAATTGTACATAATAAATGGCGCTGTGATGAGCAAAGATGGAAATGTCATACTTTAGCAAATTTGCTAGGGGGTAGACACAACATTTAAAACTTGAATCTTTTTAGATCTTTTCAAATCTGTAGGAATCTCAAATCTCGAGAAAATTCAAATACTTTTGAATCTCTATGAATCCTTATGAATCTTCTCAAATCAAAATGGCTGACTTGTCAAAAAGGTCAAACAAATCAGTAAGATTTTTACAAATCTTTTCCAATCCCTTCAAATCTTCACGAATCTGAACACCTCCACACAAAATCAATTAAGTATTTTGAAAAACGAACGTATCTCAGATCTTGTGTCTATCCCCTAGCAAATTTGCCACTAGTCTTTATCAAAAGTCTAAAAACATCTAGGTATATTTTTGTCAACTGTACAACTGATCTGGTTCAGCGTTGATGTTCGTAGACAACACTGCCTGGCATTTAATGGGTTAACATTGGTGATGTTCCCTGTGCACATATTTGAGTGGTACCGCAAAGCATTCGCCAGCAAATATTTTATACATATATTCGTATAATTTAACTACAACTTAAGCATTGACTACAAATTAAGCATTGACTAATTAGGGCGAATTATTCGAAAGCTTTATTAAAATTAATTAGGACAATAGTTTCAATTTCGATACGATTTACATGCTATGCATTTTCCAATGTTTGGCCATTCAATGGCACGTAATCAACAATGTAATATTTTCCATGAAAAGCTCTTTCATTCACTGGAACAAATGCATCAATTGAACTACAAATGGGGTAAAATGCAGACGAATTTCGTTTTGTGAAGAATTGTGTAGTTCCAATTAATTTGATTCTATTAGTTCCCCTTTCCTTAGTCACTCTATTTCACGCACATCAATTGTCCTGAAGATTCCCTCTCCGTTGTCTTGTCGCCGTTCATTTTGTTATGAAGAATGAATAATAGGTAGGAAAATTTCAAGCACATGAACGCCAAACTGTACCGTTTCTCAGTCTCGATTTGGAATTGACAATACGGTATATTCACTCACACACATACACACACAGCCTGTGTGACAGTTATAAACATAAGCTGGAGACGAAACGAGCTACACATACATACGTAGGAAGAACAAGACAGAGTACGAGCAAGAAAAAAAATAAACTTCATTACACGGTTGACTTAGCAATCATTTAATAGCTATGTGCAAAGGCATTGAACCAAAATCCCGTGGCTTTTACTTCTCTCTCTCTCTCTCTCTCTCTCTCTCTCTCTCTCTCTCTCTCTCTCT